AAAAATATTTTTTAGACAAATATTTGAAAAGTTTCTTCCGATTTTTGATATCTTGTTCCAATCGTCCAATATCGCATGGTAAATTAAAACGGTTTTTTGAATTTTTTATTGAGTAATTATTTAGCTAATTAATAAAAATATCGAAAATCAGGCTTCTTACGATTGTAAAAAAAGTTCTACTTTACAATTTTTATAATAGGTATTTTTTACTGTAAACCACTTCAAGAAACCATGGTTTTATGCCATATTTTGTCTACTAATTGTCTATTTGCGCCCTCTTGTTGGAAAACATAAAAAAAACACTTATAAAATATATATTACTAAATTATCTCAAAATTAAAAACCTAATATTTCATTCCAAATGTTTTCATTGTTGGTGCTGAATAACTAATAAGAGTGTAAACAAATTAGACAAAATTGACTACCTAATTAAAATTTATAAAGATGACAAAGCTATTTGAACTTCACAAGTATTAATTTTATTTTTTATTTTATTAATTTTGACTGTTAAATATATAAAAATTAAAAGGAATAAAATACTTTTAAAATGTATGGATTTATTCTTATTATTTTAAAATTTGGTCATGTTTTTTTTTGCATAATGCATATTTTGAGTGCATAATTTAAAAATGTTAATGCATATAAATGCATATTTTTGAACTTTTAAGTGCATATTTTAATGCATATTTTGACAATTTTTAGTGCTTGAATGCATGCTTATTTATGCATTTTTTAGTGCATGAAGTTACGAGCCCTGTTTATCAGTATTATGTTTATTCTATAATAATATTAGCTAACTAGCTAACAAAATATATATTATGCTGTATATTATACATATATGTTATTGCACAGAGCCCACTATAGGGCATGATATATTATCAATAGAAATAAAGTATTTGTAACGTGTTCAATACGAGTACCTATACTAGATAATATATAATATGTTATATAATATGACAATTTATTGGATATAAAATATTAATTTTAATGTAAGACACTAATTATTTCATAAGCTTTGATCGTTTTTTTACACCATTTTAAGTCACTAAAAACAACAATTTCTTAAAAATTAAAATATTTATAAGTGTTAGGAACCAGGTACTAGGTAATAAATTACTTGTCCAAAATTAGATTTTTATAGATCAAATACTCATAATAATTCAAATAATATTAATAATAGATATTTCTTTTGTTTTTCACGTTGCTTTTGAAAACTACTGGGAAATTTTTACTTTTAACCCCCCAAAGTACCAACCAGTAGGCACTTGACTACTCTGCAAACTTTCCCCCCTCAATATTCATTATTATTATCATGATAATTGATAGTCAATCATAAAATACTTTTTAACTATCGTAAATGTAGTTAAACGAGGTTACCCCATCCAAATTAATTTAATAACTTAGATGTGAATATGACTATATATACGTAATATGTGTGTGTTAATGTGTTATGTACTTGTGTATGACTACCCTGCCAGAAACTCTGCGAAATCCTTATAAAATACATCCAAACGTTCGTAATTATCCATCTTATGGAATTTTGGTACTGTGGGGAGTCAAAAGTGCTGTGAAAAACAAAAGAAAAATTAAAATAGAACGGGAATTTTTACACACAATCTGTTTTCGAAAAAAATAATTTTGGTTTTGGTGCAACATTTAAATAAATGACCGTAGATACATAAAATTTTGACTGAATGTTTATATTAGCATTTTCTGTACATGATAAAATTTTCAAAATATTATGATTTGATTTGAACTGTTAAGGAACATTTTCATTTTCCATATTTTTTTAGTTTTTTTTCTAAAAATATCAATAAAATTGTATTTGTTGGTTAAAAAAGCTTGAAAATTAAATAGAGGGCTATTAGTATATTGTTTCAAAGGCAAATGAAAAATATTAAATATCCTATTCACAATTTTTTCTTATAAGCATTTAAAATTCAAAAATGGACAAAATATGGAAAAATCACGAAAATTAGCAAATTATTTTGAGTTAAGAATTCGTAAAAATTTTTCTTTTTAAATCTAAGATTTGAAAATGTAATACAAGATTCCTTATAAGATTATCTACCTTTATCAAAAAAAAATTTTCTATAAGAAAGTCAAATTAAATTTTTATGAGCGTTCGAAATTCGTAATATTTAAGTATAAACGAACAATTTCAAAATGTTTTAACTTGATGGATTTTTTTAAATCAACTGAGAAAAGCTAAGTTATTTCAATTGTAAATTAAACTATTTAAGTTCAGAAGTTGATTAGAAAATAAACTAACTAGTTAAGTTAAAAAGTTAAAAAAAAATTAACTTTTTAACTGAACTTTAACTTTTCAACTAGTTAATGCCCACCTTTGTATATATACTTATCTATGGTATTAAAAAGAATTGACCTATAATAGGTACCTATATAATAAATTCCAAATTAATCATATCACAATATCCATTAGGTACTTATAACCACGTTATACATCAACAACAAATCCTGATACTATCATAGATATATAATAGTGTACTTTAGTTTCAAGAGTACCCACGAATAATATTATACAATCACAACAAAATAACTAAAATAGTTATTCTAGGTTTTTTATTATGTAATTTCGTCAAAATTTGAACTTAAAATGACAATAAGAATAAACTGTGTTGATGTATTATTTTAGATTTTTTTGCAACAGAATTAACTACTTACGTGGAATCTTGTTTTAAATTTTCAATATTTAGATATAAAAGTTGAATACTTTATACAATTTTAACTGCAAAATAATTATTCAATTTTAAATTTGATAAATTTTGACGAACTTCGTTCTTTAAATGCTTATGAAAAAAAAATTGGGCCAATGTAGTTTTAATACTTTTCAACTGATACTGTAACAATATATTAGGAGCCTTGTATTAAATTTTTACACTTTTTGGCCCAACGGATAAAACTTTATTGATATTTATAGAAAAAAAAACTAAAAAAATTTAAAACTGTAATTGTCCGTAAACTGCTCAAAAATTTTCAAAATTGTATGGTGTATAGGAAATGCTAATATAAATATTCAGTGAAATTTTCATGTATCTACAGTTATTCGTTTTTGAATTACAACAAAATAAAGAAATCGCTAGATACATGAGAAATCGAGTGAATATCCCATGTTGTAAAAATTTGAATTTTAAACGCTCATAAAAATTTAATTTGACTTTCTTATTGACATTTTTTTTTTTTGATAATGGTAGATAATCTTATAAGGAATCTTGTATTACATTTTAAAATCTTAGATTTAAAAATAAAAAGTTGTATGAATTCTTAACTCAAAATAATTTGCTAATTTTCGTGATTTTTCCATATTTTGTCAATTTTTGAACTATAAATGCTTATAAAAAAAAACTGCGACTAAGGATTTTTAATATTTTTCATTTGCTTTTGAAAAAATACATAAGGAGCCTTCTATTAAATTTTCAAGCTTTTTTAACCAACACTTACAATTTTATTGATATAGGTATTTAGAAAAAAAATGGAAAATGAAAATGTCCCTAAACAGTTCAAAATAAATCAAAATATTTTTAAAATGTTATCGTGTATAGAAAATGCAAATTTAAACAATCAGTGAAAATGTCATGGACCTACAGTCATTTGTTTTAATAGTTACACTAAAAACCAAATTCAATTTTGTGAAAAATCGATTTTGCGTAAATATTCCCGTTTTTCCTTAATTTTTTTTGTTTTTCTTGGCGCTTTTGAAAATTACAGGGAATTTTAAATGTTGCCCTTCCCAATGCTCCAACGATATTTACTTTCCAATCGAACAAGATATTGAAGTTGAAAATCGAAGCATTATTTCGACTACTTATCGGGTACACAGACACAAAAAAAAATTATAAAAAAAACACACATCATTGTAAAATCAATACATTCATCGTTCCACTCAGAATCTAAAACAATTGAAATGTTTTAACGATTAATATTATTTTAATTTATAACCATAAACATTAAAAACAGGAAACGGCGCTCAATAAAAGACGCATCACCCATTTTACTTTAGTTTCATCGATATGACAAATGCCCGATTGTGTCTTGTGTGGTCTAAACCTGTAAGTACACAGTAGACTGTAATTAATTTGGAGATTTAAAGGTTAAATAAACCACTTAATGGTTCTTTGGTAAAGGTTCGCTGTTCGCACACAATAATATTATGTATTTATGTTGCAGTGATTTTAAGATTCTATTGTCTAGGCCCATTAGGCCTGCAGGGATGGGCAAATGGCAGGCCACCTCCCGCCTTATTTGCCCCTTGTTACATTTTCAAATTACTTCATACAATTTTAACGTTTATCCGTATTTATGAATGACATTGTTCGTTGATAATAAATGTGTACAATAATCCTATGGCAGTGGCAAATGTAGAAAGAGTTGCCTTTCTTCCATATGGTCTGGTCTAGCCGTCTAGTCAGTATTGGAGCCGACGCCATAGCGGTAAATTAATACCAAATTGTGTCCGGCTGCATTTTGCCGCTATCGCTGGATGTGCCGCCGCCGTGAATAATTAATACTCTTTGGTATTGGCACGTCCCATAGGCACGACGTCCTAACCGGTTGTTCGAGAGACGTGGTTCGGACAGTTTTTTATACCTGCATTGTGTTACCGGTAACGCGGTAATCGTTCGTCACGAAATATAATTTTCACATTTTTCAATTCCCCCTTGTGGAATCAATTTTTTTATTTTAGCATGTGTATCGTTCAAAAATCAAAATGTGTATCGTCTGGTATTAAATTGTGGTAATTTCCCTATCAACTATACTATAAATTATAAATATGATGTGTACACCGAATTGCATTATCACGAACGCGCAATCTTGCCAATTTGTCGGAAAGTTTAAAAGTTGATGAAACGCTCTGGGGCTGGCCGATGCTAGGTTGTTAAAATTTGCTTATAGTATTATATTGTTGTTAAAAACAAAAACATCTTTTACACCCGTTCTGTAAATCTTGTTTTTGTCGAAAGTGAAATAAATTGCGCTAAATGGTATTGTCCACTCGTCAGTTACTTAAAGCCTTGTTGCCCATAAATTCAGGTACACAGTAGTAGGTATTACAGGGTTAAATACATATTATGATCGATATATTTACGTACTGAGTTATTTAATTATTCTGATATTGTTCATTTTTATAATAGTCTGTCGAACATCGTTTGGAGCAACTCTATTCTCCGTCCGTACGATGGTGTCTGATCCGATAATCAATCAGAAGCATCCGCTTTCAGAGGATGATGAGAATATTGTAACTAAAAAACTATGCATAGAACCAAGAGTCAAAAGAAAAAAATGTGCCATATTATTGGCATACTCTGGACTGGGTTATTTGGGTTTACAGAGGTAATTATAAAATATTATTTGTCAATGCTAAACGAATTCATAAATTTTTTGTTACTTATAGAAATAAGGGTGTCAAGACGGTTGAAGAAGAATTGTTGCTTGCATTAAAATCAAAAAATTTAATTACCGATGAGGGTTTTGAACAAATTCAAACCATGCAATTTCAACGTGCTGCTAGAACTGACAAAGGAGTATCTGCTCTGCGACAAATAATTTCACTTTTATTACGTAAGATTTTTTAATACTTACAATATAATTTGTAAAAATTTTCAATCCTTTTTTTTCCTTGTTTAACTGACAGCAGATGAGGCTCTGTTTGAACAATACTTCTCCTCTGCTTCCATCTTTTAAAAATGAATAAAATATGATACAACAACTTTCCACCCTGCCTATGTTTATGTATGTTTTTATAAATAAATTATTTTACTACAATGATATATTACTAACGAATTTATATAAACATAACTATCTTTATATTTTGAAACTTAGGAATTTTTATTTTCAAATTATAGCTTAAAGATCTACTTACTACATAATATCCCCCTAATATTCTGTTTCATGAACACAAAAAATTCAAAAACATAATTCTAGAATGATGGTTTTTTTGCAATGTTATGCTAATTAATGAATAATTTCCACACATTTTATTAATTATTACCTTAAAATAAACAACATAATTTATTGGTATTTTGATAAAGTATTATGAAAGTTATTATTTTAGAATAAAATCTACTACATCCTAACTGTGTGGTGAAAAATAAAAATAAAAATGAAGTATTTATACCTATTTAGTTTTAAACCAAGAAAATGTCTCTGAAAATGCATTATCATTTCCGTCAATTATAATTTTAAACAATTATAACTAAATAAGTTGTAATTTCTATTATTATAAGTTAAATCCTGTTTCTAACTATTTAAATTATATTCAAATTAAATCTGTTTATAAATTATATTTTACTAACCATTTCAGCTGAAGATGTAGATAAACAAGTTATTAATACAGCTTTACCAGAGCAAATTAGAGTTCTAGATATTAGAAGAGTAACTAAAGGTTTCAACAGTAAAAATTCTTGTGACGGTCGAACATATTCATACACTTGTCCAACATTTGCTTTTGCACCAGCAGAAGCTACCATTGATTTTAGTTATCGGATTGATGCCACCGTTATTGATAGAATAAATGAAGTAGTTAAGAGTTTCTTAGGATGCCACAACTATCACAATTACACTTCTAAAAAGTAAGGGCAAAATATGGTAAATTGATAAATTGTATAAGTTCATTAAACAAACTAAATTTGGATTTGAAATTGTTCAGAAAACCAGGTGATCCAAGTGCACAGAGATACATGGTTAGTTTTTACTGTGATAAACCGTATGAAAAAGATGGTGTTGAATTAATATCATTGTATGTTAGAGGTAATATTTATAGTAGCATTTTTTATTATTAGAATTAGTGTTTATATTATATTTAATTTGGTTTTAGGACAAAGTTTTATGCTTCATCAGATTCGTAAAATGGTTGGTGTTATTATTGCTATTTGTCGAGGTGTAGCCAAGCATGATGTGATAGAACGTGCATGGCAACCTGATCGTCTTGATTTACCTATTGCTCCAGGTTTAGGCTTGGTATTGGAAGAAGTGCATTATGATAAATATAATGGAAAATTTGGTAATGATGGTATGCATGAGCGTTTAGATTTTGTTGAGCTCAATGATCAAGTATCTGAATTTAGAGCTAAATACATACTACCAACTATTATCAAAGTAGAAAAAGAAGAAAGCTCGTATCCTTTGACAAAAATATTATTAAGTTTTAAATTATTAGTCAATAATTTCAGAATTATTAAGAATATTTTTTATAGAATATTTGATCTTATTGTATAAAGTGTCTGTACATCACATTTACTACTTAATTTTATAGTTGAACAAATAATTAGTTTTCTATAGTGCTATACAAATGCTAGAAGACCCTTAAATCTTAATTCATGCAAATGTTATGACAAGAACATTAATAATTATGATACATAAGTCATAAATGAACCTTAAGTCTTTATTTCCAGTATGCAATTATGGCTTGAACAGCTACCGTTACATACATTTGAAGTACGTACAGAGCACCGTCACTTGCGAACAGATGTTAACGAAATAAACAGTCCTGGATTAGCATCTTTACAGGCAGCTGCTGAATTAATCGAAAAAGAGGAACAGCATGCTATTGATACAAATGGAGAAGTACCACCTGATAATCTTTCTACACTTGCAGATGCTGCTCAAGCAATGAGTTCAGAAAATAATTAAGTTTGTAAGTTGATTGAGAAAGAAGTGTATTACATTATTACTAGTATAGATTTAAATATACAATAATTATTATTAATGAATGGTAGCATCTAGTGTGAACAAAAAAAAAAACAAATTCGACTATACATCAGATTATTAATAAAAATAATAACAATAACTCTAACTTTAAATTTGGATCAATAGCATCAGTAATTGATAATTTTATTAAAACAATTTAATTAAAAACATAAATTTATTAAAAAAACCACATTAATTAAGGTTGGGTCATGTAGCATCTTAATTTAATTCATCCCAATAATAATTGGTGAACAGTAGCTGAATATAGAAACTGTAATAATTCTTCAATTTTTTTAGAAATACTGATTTTGAATGCCCTAAAGTCAGGCTTCCATTTTGTCATTAAAAAGTAAAAAAAATTCATACAATCTCCATGATTTCTTTATCTGAATTTTCTATATCGGCCCTTATTATATGTGTACTTCTTATTTTATTTATATTTTATACAACAGAATCATGAGTTCCAAATATTTTTAATTTTAGTACTTTGACTTAAATATCCATGTTTGTACCTTGATTTTTATTTAGGCACGTTTTCAGAACTGGATGGTGAGGGTACAAGATGTTTTTCACTTATTCTTTGATAGGTATTCCTTGGGACTAGTCCACCAATTGTTGAATATCTGATATATTACAGACAAAATATTTCCATGCATTTTCCTTAACAATTTCATCAGTATTCAATGATCAGGAATAGTGCCAAAAAGTACAATTAAAATATATCAAATACTTTTATGCAGCCATCTCAGTAGATCAGTGTTCTAAACATGCTAAATTACAAACTCAAGAGATTCACATAATAAGTTTAATAGATTTTCAAAACAATTAGGCAACATTTTAATAAAAATTTGAATTCACATTTAAAATGATGATAACTTATAAATATCTGTTCCTAATAAAAATGAAGTATTACAATATTGAGAATTATGAAAAAGTTTGTGACATTTATTTTTTACTTTTCGCATGTCAAAAACAAGTTTCCCAGAACCTTTATTTTGGGCATTCAAAACAAGTGCTTATTTAAATATTTGTGAATAAAATATAATTACATCCATACCAAATATAGTTGGTGCCGAGTTGCTGAACATGGAAATTGTCATCACATCTGGAACTGTGTGCCAATTATCATTGGAATGTATGTACTATGTAACAGATCTCAAAATGAAGTAAAATACACATTTGATTTTTCTCCTGCTGTTGACATAATTTCTTTCTCTTAACTATCCTTTTAAACTACTGCAAGAAGATATTTTAACTATCAATTACTGATTATTATTATTATTGACCTGAATTGAAATGTAATATATTTTATAAATATTTAATTATTATTATATAATATGCATATAATAAAATTAACTGTAAGGAGTATAACTGTTGTTTTTTATGATTAAACATAAAATGTTCCTAACTAAATTAAATTGTCGCAAAATATAATGTATAAATATTAAATAATATACACTTTGAATTATTGCAATTTTCTGGATGTTGGTAATTAATGATTTCGGGTAAATTTTATATGTATATTTGTAATCAATGTTATTTTTAATAATGTTCAAATTGTAAGAAGTGTATCAAAAATAAATGATAATAATTATTTTGTTATTTGTGTTTTGAATTTTTTTCGTTAAGATTGAATATTTAAAAAAACCTTTCATCATTATATTGTACTATTGTAGTATCTATCATACACAAATATACCTACATTTTTTTTTTTTTTTTATCAAATTTAAGTGAGGTTTAGCTATAAAATGTTAAGTTAATTGTGATATTCTAAAATTACTTAAACATACTTTTATTTCATAGTCAAATATTAAATCTTGACAATTTATATTGTATTACCATTATTTGTGTATGATAATTCAGTTGGTAATAATATATTCCTATTGTGGATGTGTATTGACCAGTTCTAATTCAAGGATGTAAATAAAAACTGAAATTAATCAATTAAAAATAATTTATTTAATAGTAATTGGGTTATTCGCCATTTGATGATCTATATAACAAAGAAAAAGATATATTTAATATATGCATGACTACTATTTGACTACATCCTATTTATAAGTTATTCTCAATTACATAATGAGTGATCAATTTACTCAGGTAAAATAACTGGTGTCAACATTTTTAATTATATTTTATTTGTGGTATTTAATAAATAAAAAGAAATTTCAATATGTATACATTAAAATAGTCAAAATAATTTAAAGTTTAAGTATATCAAATAACTAAAAATTTTAACATGGGTAGTATGTTGTTTAAATTATTATTACCTTAAGTGGACGCCACACATGTGTTGTCCTCCATTTAACAAATGCGTAACATGTAAATGTACGCTCAGCAGATCACGTTAATCTCTGTTCGTTTAAACTAGAGTGAATCGACCTTATTATGCAAATTGATTTCATTATGTCATAGTAAGTTAAGACGATTTTGAATTTACGCATAACTTGCTAACCAATTGAACCATCATACGAACACAGATAATGTTCTTACTATCAAGTTTTGTAATAGGTCGATTCACTCTAATTTTTAAAAACTAATGGAGTTAAACATTATCTGCTGATCGTAAATTTGCTATGTTACACACTTGTAAGACGGAGACAAGACATGTGGGTGTAGCGTGCTCTTAAATCAGATCTAAAGAAGCATATAATTCAAAAAAGTATTTAAATATTTATTCATTCCAGTATTTAAATACCTAGTTGTAAAACTTAATGGGGAGTTGACTAAAAGAAAACCACCGTCGTCTCTAAATTACACACTAGAGGAAGTTCATGAATGAAAAAGTAAACGCATTTTTAGTTAACATAATTGTATTTTACAATTATATTCAATCTACCTTTTTGGAATTTTGACAACAATTGCATAATAAATGATTGAATACACTTTTAACTAGTTTTATCTACACAAACAATTAAATATAAATAAATAAAAATTTAAGTTTATAACAACAAAAAAAAAAAAAATAATAATTATAAATTACCCAATAAAACAGAATTCAGTCTCATAAAATAAATTGAGCTTTATGAATAAATATCACAATATATTTTTAAATAGTAGAAACAAATAAATAACTTAGGATAGACATTGTGAAATGACACAACTAGGAAAATAGGAATAATTTTGTAGGATAACTTATCACAGTTGTAAAAATTTTAGAATGCTGTTCGTTTTGATAAAATTACATTTGGTACATCAATGTGACTTCTTTTCTTTTTACTTGCCATGATAACTGGAGATTGAAAACCTGGAGAAGAACTAAGATATCCTTCATCTACTGGCACAAGCTTTCTGTGCTGCATTACATTTCTTCTGTAAAACAATGTTTTAATTAGTAATTACAATTTAATGACAATAATAAATAAAACATAAGAGGTTGAAAAATTAAAATCAAAATTATATTTAATTACAATTGTACAATTTATTGAAGTAAAATAAATATAGTCATTAATTTAAATGGTTTGCATGATAAAAATAGAATAAAAAATCTCAAATTGACAAAACCAATAATAAAAATAAAAACATAAATAATAACATTAAATGTTGTATAGAAAATTTATGTCCTGTTTGTAATAGTTCTTTTCGTGTACCAGTTGAGTCCAGTTTATTAAAAAAATAAACGTAACATCAATCTCACAAATGTTAAAATAAAAAATTCACTAAATAAAATGTATAATTAAAATAATTAAAAAAAATACCCTAATAGAGAACAACACTGCACAAGATCTTTTTTTAAGTATCCAGTCACTTTTCGTAATTGTGCTGTCCAACATGGCACCAATCCTAATGTGTGCCTAGTAGTTAAAATAATACTCGCTGCAACCATTGATGGATTATAAGATATTAGTTTTATGCCTGAAACACATAAACATAATATTATATAATATTATATTTGAAATATAATCACACAAGTGTCATTTAACTATAGTTGGTTAATATGATTTTCAATAAATTCAGATATATCTCTGGTGGCTCTAAATAGTTAATTATTAATTTAACCATTGGTCAGCTTTAGCTATTGGAAATATAAATTATAAAATAAGAATTGGATATGGATCTTTAAATTTAGAATAATATTTTTTTTTTTTTCAATATGAGGGAACCTGCTCAACTACTCATCATAGTAAACGAGAGGTGTGGTATGCTGTCTGATTGACAGACAGATCACCATTGAGTTTTCATATCAAACAACGTAATATATTTAAAAATTTCATTGTATGTCATATGTGAATCATATATATTAAAATTTACTCAGTAAAACCAATAAGAAGCAAACGTAGGTTAAATTTAAAGGTTATCATACTAATGATATTGATTTAGTCTACTCATGTACTAAAACGTACCTGAAGTAATTATTAGTTAATCAAGACCACGTAATAGTTTCATCAAGCTAATAAACCATAAATAACTCAAAGCAGTACTTCATAAACTTAAAACGTATAATAACTAATAAGTATTTAAAAATAATATTGTACGATAAGTAAATCATAAAATAAGTATTAATTTAATCAATATAGAATACTAACTTTCCAACGACGCATCCTGATATGAAATTATCATATTATTGAATTTATCTTTTAAAATACATGCATATTCATTATGATAAAAATCATTATCACAGTAAAAATGGTTTTTATAAAATTCAATGAAATGTGCAACTGTAGGTACTGCAACATTGAACTCAAAAAACATTAAAATTTTCATCTCAACTTTACGAAAGTGGGAGTTTGTTACATCTTTACTAATGACGTTTTGCATGGTTTTTAGCTTTGGTATATTTAAGCAATGTTCTTCAATTTTTGCTATGGAAATAAAATTAATGTAATTTACCTTTATATTGATAGTTAAAAATGGTAATAACGACACTTACCAGCTAATGTCAAGCATGCAAAAGAGACTAGCATGATGGTATCAAATTTTAGATCATGGTTATCCATAAATAAATCCATCAGGGTGACGGCCAAATGAACACATACATTTGAAATTTCACATGTCTTGGCTATACTTCTAATGGTTTTTAACAATACGGGTCGCAAATGAATCTAAATATTGAGAAAATAGAGTATAACACTAGGTATAATGACTAAATACTATATATCATTAGGTATATTATGTATTACTTGTGGCGATCTGGCTCCATATACCATCCTCCATTTAACTTCATGGTACTGTAAATATGAGTGTATGTTGTCACTGTACTCTGTTTCCCACCATTTATCAGAATGTCTTTGATGATTTAATGCCTGAAACAAATTTTTAATTAGTCTTAGGGTTACCTATTTACAAGATAAACTACACAACACTAATAAGATAATATTATTATGTTTTTATGGACGAATGCAAGCACACAGTATAATACGGTAATAAAAGCAAACCGCTAAAATAAAATGAAAAACTCAATACTCTGGCCCACAAATCGTTAATAACAATATTGTTTGATTTTGGTGACAGCCAATTCTAAAATAAGACACACAACGTCAAGCCCCCAAGTAAGCAAATTGTTTTCAAACTTGAAAGACGACGCACGTCATGTGGTCGGGGACAAAAAATCCATCAAAAACTTCCAAGATCCTCTGTCGAGGGGAGGTCACGACTTACCATAGTATTATCGAGTAAGCACTAAGCTTGGCAGTGGCGGAGACCCGACCGCGTTATGGTCCTGCTGCAGCTGACCGCAAATTTCCCCGAAATGGTTATGTAAAGTTTCTGATTTTTAGGTCAAATAAGCAGATGCAGAGACCAATGTGTTGAAGAATGGTGAAATAGCGGTTGTGTTTATTGCGGTTTACAAAAAATAACAATACGTTGGTAGGTATATTTATAATATTATAATTAAATATGAATCGTCGTTGTCTGTCTGCTGGTCCTATGAACGAAAATTCAAAAAAAAAAACCACACTCGTCACTCGGATAATATGGACGATATAATATTTCGCGGGGTACGTGAAGATCCCTTGCCGGCTGTTTGCTGGCGACAACACGCGACGGACGAGTGACGAGTGACGAGTACTGAGTGGTGAGTACTGACTACTGACGAGTGACGACGACGACCGCGAAGTGCTGCTGCTGTAGTGGTGTTGCGGCGGACGACCCGGCACCGTAGGCCGTCGTACCCCGTCGTCGACGTCGGATACCGTACCCCCGCCCGACCGAGAGCCCGTCCAGCTGCTGGGGCTTCTGCAGCACAAAAGTGTATAATAATAATAATAATAATAATTAGATATCGTCTATCGTGTTTTAGGCAGGTCGCAGGTACACGATGCGGTGGTGACTGATGGTGAGGGTGGTGGTGGCGATTGCGATTTGCGGCGATATTATTATTATTTTATCACAATATATATAAATATAATAGTATTATTTAACATTGCCGTGACAAAACTGATCTATATTATAGGTACGACGCGTTACACCGTCGTGGCAGGTATCCGTACACGCGCCGGAGATAACGCGAAACGATAGGTTTTACATCCGAGTTTAGACGTCGGCGGCGATTATTTCCAGATGTATTTTTACGAATCCGCTATAATGTATAGGATTATATAGGATTCGCGTGTAAAATGTTCACGACGATATTGTTATATTTTATACTGTAGGTACATGCGATCGCACTGCGAGGGAAACTTTTGTCTTATCGTCTCGTCAAAACTCACTGTCATGTGTAGTTTATTTTTATACGAGAACCAAACACGACTTTTGGAAAGTCTCTCTCGACGTCCGCGATCGCATATTGTGATCGGTGAGGTGCATAACTTATTAATATAATTTAGTGGACCAACCTACTCACCTTTACATTATTATAGCCTCTTCCACTGAAGCACCACCCGTCACCCGTTTAGAATCCACCGTTTCACGCTTTATGATACACAGTTGCGACACGTCGCCCTAGGGGGTAGGCTTAGTCCATATATTTTGTATGATCAGAGAGAGTACTGGGGTAGGTAAATCTGTTTGCGCCAGAGTCAGTGGGGGGGGAGAGCCCGAGAGCAGGTGGAACAGGTGGCCGAGAGACGGCTTGGTGTTGAAGACACTGAATCAAAATAGTTTGTTCGGTTTCGGGTCTTTATACATATGGTCTTGGGCCTCGGGCCTCAGCATAGAGGGTAGGTAGTTACGTTGGCCAGGTGGTGTGGGAAAACGTGGACCGTACACAGTGTGATTGCTCAGCACCAGTTCTCCTCCCACTTGTTGGTTACCGGGTAACCGAACAAAGGAAATCGGTGCCGCTTTTATATTATATACTATAGTATAGTATCATAATAGTATATATAGCGATGGTGCAGTGTCAACTCGTAAATCGTAATGCGCGTTTGGCAAAACTAACTAACACTACCTCTCTCCCAAGCCCATCCTAAAGTCTAAAGAGGACATGCACGTGGCGATATATTATACATTTATACAATTATTCTAGTGCGTTTTGGTTTTCCGCATGAAAACAATTTACAGCATCAACATCGAAGAAACAAGTCCGAATAATATATTAATATCTAATGACGTATTTGCACTAGCTTGCATAATATTATAGGAGGTTTGATAAATCACGTGGTTTTTATTATGTGGTGCCGGACGTTTAAACAAAGACCGGAGTTTTTTTTTTTATTGATATATTTACAATCTATACTAAGTGTACAATAAGTAAATTTGAGGAAAGAATTAGGTAACAGTGACAGACGGATAAATTATAACAAAAATGTACTCTAGTTGGTTAAGTTGATTGTCGAACGTTATAAGTTAATAGTTAACAAACCAGGGGCGTAGCGTGCATGTAAGCACTGTAAGCACTGCTTACACTTTAAATGAAAGAAAAATAAATTTGATCAATCACGACTAATAGGTACATAATAAATGATTTTTAAAATTTTAATTTTATTTATAAAATATTTAAGTTATAGCTGGTAGTGGTTTTTGTTATTGTTTATTTGTGTCGTACGCTGTCTACTGATTACCAACTATTTTAAGAAAATCATCGATTGTAGGTCTATTTTTAATCCATTCTGTATTATGTTAACTGCATAATCATAATACGATATACAGTGTAACACATTCTGAAATTGCTTACGGGCAGCTGTTGTTTTCGAATAGTCTATAATGCCATAGTGGGGGTCACGTATTTAACTAGCGTTTGTAAGCACATTTGATTTTGCTTACGCGAGAAACAATAGGAGCGACCCGTACGGCCGTACGTAGCCCGACGCGTTGTAGACTGTAGTCGTTTTTACGTAGGTACACTGTCACTGTCATTCGCCTATAATAGACTTTTGAAGTATTTATACTTCAATTTCTTTATTTTCTCTTCATTACATTTTTTTATACATAATTTATAATTAGGTATTTAGGTATAGTACCTATACTCTAATCACTTTTGAAAAAAAAATTTCACTGCTTACATCTTTTTAATACCCACGCCACGCCACTGTAACAAACAATATTGTCTTAAATATAACTAACTATAAAAGTATAAAATTAATGCGGAGAAAAAGGTCACACATAATATAGAGATTGTGCAACTTTGAGTTTTTTAAATGATAACTAAATAATAAAAATGTTAAAATTGCTGCATTGTACCTATATACTTTCTACACACTAACTGTAGAGGTTTAAGCAATTACACATTTGCACGTGTCAAAAAAATGAGTAAATCAAGGAATATTAATTTGTATTTTAAACCCATAGAGCAAGATTAAACGAAAAAAAATTAATTAATTATTTGTTTTGATTATTCAGTTTATTATACAAATTATTTTTGAATTACTTAGAAATTTAATACTTGGTTAATGAAAAAAGGGAAGGACTTGATTATTTGTAATTCAATTTAAGGGGCCACATGACCAATGTTGATAAGCACTGAAGTATAGCCGTACAGACGTCAGACATTTAACATTCGAAAATTTATAAAAAACATGCTTATAAAATATTATTACAATATTACATTATGGTTAATATCTATATTTTAATATTATAGGGTGTCAGGGACTTAGGGTACTACGGTAGACATGACGTTTCTCGTTCCGTGTTAACCTTAGGGTTATTAAGATAAGAATAAAAATTCCCGGAAAAAAAACTCCCGACGAACGACCCTGGAAAAAAAATCCCTGACCCTAGGATCCCCAGACTACAATATTACTCACAACCACATGAAAATGGTTGAACAAAATATTTTTTAAACGTTAATTAGTATCTATAATTACCACGCGGCACGCATTATTAATATTTAATTACAATAATACGTATATATTATATTATATTATACCTACTATATAATATCATTCAAAAAAATTATATTTTGTTTTAAATTACGTTGTTAATTTTTAGAAAATTATTAATAGTATTATATATTATATTGATTTTTTGAATGATATATAATATAATATAGTATAATATAATGTATTAACGTATTTGTAACTAAATATTAATAATGTAATAATAATGGATAGGTACCTACTAATTAACGTTAAAAAAATATTTGTTCTACCATTTTCATGTAGTTGTGACTTGTGAGTAATATCGTAGTCTCGGGATTTTTTTTCTGGGGTCGTTTATCTGGCGATTTTGTTTCCGGGGATTTTTTTCCCTGGGATTTTTATTCCGATTACGGCTATATAGTATACGGTGAACATTTTTAATAGATTATACATGTATAGAGCATGAATTGTGATTTGTGAGTGACACCAACAATATTTAATACCTACCTATATAATTTTACCTATATGCTTTAATATTATCTGCGGATATAGTGAGTGGTTACTGAGATTACGATTACCTACAGAGTACAGACTACACTGCGTCACTGCCACAGTCGTACAAAAAAAAAGTATGTATCTGTAAAAGCATGAATGACACGCTTGTGTAGCGTGAACAACACATGTATGCCATAGGTAAATATAATGAAAGAAAAAAAATATTTTTATTCTTTGAATCCTAAAATTTAAGAAGAATGACCTACAATGTAAGAATTATGTTCCATATTCTATGCATAAACGCCATGAACATCCTAACACTAGCTTTTATGGGAAAACAAGGAGGTCATCCCTGTATTTTTCTTTATGTTTATCATCAATGTTGTTCTTAAAAATTTCCAACTAACTTGAAATTCTTTGATATTTTCTACTGGTCCCACTGATGAAACTTAAAAAGAAATTTAAGTGTTGCTTAAGTTATGTTTAACTACGTTATATATAGAGTTGTTTTTAGGGTGGTAAAAATTTGATGTGTAAACAGAGCACAACATTTTTATATAAACTGTTGGTACTTACCTTGTATCTATACCGGACTATATTATAGGTCAATCATAATACCGTATAAACCGGATCCAATAATTGTATTAATTATTTTTAAAAATCATTGAACATTATCCAGACTCCAGAGAACGCCACCACGATAAGGCTAAACGATTAGGAAATTCCCGCATTACCTTACAAAAATGACATAAATGTTGCCATAATGTCATATTTGCTTTCTTTCGTTATTATAATACCTTTGTATAATATAAATTACATAATATGTATTACATTAATTCATTAATATTATAATCTTATTATCTTAAGGATTCGAAAGTGGAGGTATTAATTATCTATGGTTATGTATAAAAATGAATGTTTATTCTT